CGTGGGTCACATTTGGGGATAACATTACTCTGTTGGTTGTGACATCATAACCCAGATGTGACATTTTTAAGAATTTGAGTCACTACACATTTTCCACGGTGAGATGTACATTGTGGAAATTCTAAAAGTTGCCTGTCAGGATTTGATTTCTTGTTACAGTGTGTGATAGAAGTTCAGAATGCAAATTTAAATACCTCTACTTCCAGTTCAAGTTTAGGATGTGTTCTATAAATTCACCGTGCACCAGGACGTGGAAAAATTTTGCTAAAAGTAAAAAGTTAAATATATGTCTTAATAGAAGGTCCATCTCTAGCAGAAGCAATGGTTACGGTTTAGTATGTCTCCATTGTGTTGAAAACTCCTCAGGCCTCTGTTCTCACTCTTTTTCTAATAAGTACTTTGTTGAGAGAGCATTATCTAAACTCAAATGTTGATTTTTTGAGCTATTTTTTCAAAATCTTGAGTTTGAGTAACTATTACTGCAAGCAGTTATCAAATTAAAAAAAAAAAAAAAAAAACACAATCCAGCCCAAATGGCATGTCGGTATGTTTTGTTAGGTTAGCAGTGAGCTAAACTTTCTGGTATTGTTACCCATTTAGTGATTTTATTATTATTACTAGTAGTAGTAGTATTTGAAAACTTTGAGTCATTGCCTTCTGGGGCCTGATTTATCTCCTTTCCTTGGAACTTGTTAAAGAAAAATAACTTTGTTGAAGTGGTTGTGTTAAGTGATCCCTCAGTGCATGCATGTACTCATTAAAATTCTTTTGGAAATTAAAATATAGAAAGCAAGAGAGATTTCATTGGCTGTCACATATGCAGTTCATGCCACAGGTGAGCTCAAAAAGTCCCCGTAGGTGTTGACAGTGCTGCCTAACCTTAACCGTGTATGGACTAATGCCTGAAGTCAGTAATCACAGCACGTTGGCTTTTTAGCTACTTACTCCTCCTCCTTCCTGCATGGCCCATTGCTTCTTGCCTGATTATCTCCAGAGATCATCTTGGCAGCAGCTGGAACCACACAGCCCTCACTGTCTATTACAGTTTCCACCATAATGGAACCGAGAAAACGTCCATTGCTGGGGTTCAGGGCTAGACTTCCTCGCTTGTGTGCCCACCCTCTCCACCAATAGGCTGCAAGAGAAAATCCAGGGCTTGGTCGTATTCTAGCAAGTTAATCATTTTTAGTAACTTATATTCAGATGGGCTTTCCTTGAAGATTTCCTGATGGAATTGCAAATATTCTTTGCATGCTTTTTTCCATGTGAGATCCCTGGGAATTGAGAAGTTTTAAGGTTGTTAAAGGAATTAAGGAAAGGAATCAAGAAGTTTTAAGAAGTTGAAGAGGATGGAAAGCTCGTCAATTCCAGAACATAGACCTTGAGTTGACCTCTTGCATGACTGAGGGGTCACACGTGTGGGATGATCACAAGGGTCGCATCTGATTCATTAAATTGCAGAGTGTGGGAGAGCAGTGTTCTGAATAGAATCAGAAGTAATTCTGAGTTGTTTACTGCCTAGGTTTAACTGTTTTAAAAAACAGAAGTCTTCTCAGGAATGATCCTGTTGACATTCCATATCTTGAGTCATCGTGGGAGGCTAACTGCTACATTCACATCCCTTGATTTTGCCAGTTTGTTTTAGTTTCATCTATGCCACCTGCTCCACATTGGATCTGATAGAATAATATCCCAATCTAGTTGTTTTTTAATTTCTTCCTCATGCATATTTCCTTTTCCTGAAAAAATTTTTCTTTGGTTCAGTTGTAAGCTCAGTGGTAAGGTCATGTCACCACTCTTTACTCCCCCCTCCCCTTTTTTTTGAGTATTATTTTCCTTTTTGGCTTGAAAACAGATTTGTTTGTTTCTTTGTGTTTGTTTTGAGATGGAGTCTCACTCTGTTGCCCAGTCTAGAGTTCCCTGGCATCAGCCTAGCTCATTGCAACTTCAAACCTTATGCCCAAGCAATCCTCTTTGTTGAAGTGGAAGAGGATTGCTTAGCCATAAGGTTTGAGGTTGAAATGAGGTTACTGGGACTACTTGGGAGGCTGCCACAGCAATTGTCTAATTTTTCTATTTTTAGTAGAGTCAGGGTCTTGCTCTTATTCAGGCTGGCCTCTGACTCCTGAGCTCAAGGGATCCTCCTGCCTTGGCCTCCCGCAGTGCTAGGATTATAGGTATGAGCCACTGGCCTGAAAATAGATTTCTAAGGGAAAAGAGTTAGAAGATGGAGAAAGACACCATGTCTCCTGAAAAGTGCTCATTTTCTATGTTTTTTATGGCATAGATATGTTTTGTGAACTTTACATGTATGGACCATGATGTGTTTTAAACCATTTGTGATTATTTTCCCAGTACTTTTAAAGAAGCCACAAACAATTTCAATAAAACTGAAATTGTATTGCAATTTCAAAATAAGAATCAGTACTTTATCAGCCACCTGCAGAGCATAAAGTTGTGCATGTATTTCAGAAATAATATTTGTTGTGGCTTCCATTTGCAGAAAGTTTAATTTCAGAAGTTTAGTCTCTGTGTTCCTTTAATCAAAGAATAGGAAGTCTTTTTGTTGTTATTATTCCATTATAAAAGGGAACTAATTGGCATAAGGTCTGTGACAAGACCATACCTATTCTGAGGTATCTATGTGATATATAGGACACTGGCTTTTTATAACCAATAATGGACCACCAAAGTAATTGCTTCTCACAGACATTACAGATGGCAGCTCTTCCCCAGGCTCTCACCCTCTATACTGGCCACTTTATGCATCAGCTGGTAGGGCAGGCAATGTGCAAGAGCTTTGACTCCTATGTTATTTCAAAAAAATGAATAAATGATAAAGATTGAGTGAAGAAAGTTAATTTATATTTGTAACATTTCAATGTAGAAATTGTTTTTAAAAATCAATATAAGCCCATTGCCTTTTGTCAGATTCCTTTTATTACAATGACTAAAAATAACCCACCAGGTCCAGATTTCTTTTATCCTGTAAACTGTATTTTCTCGTTCCTAAAATGTCATTTATGATATGTTTTAAAAGTCTATATGGGACTTAGTACTTAATTTTTCAAGTTTCCTTTTTCTTTCTTTTTTTTCTTTTTTCTCACAGAGACAGAGTCTTACTTTGTCACCCTTGGTAAAGAGTACGTTGGCGCTCAATCTCTTGGGCTCAAGCAATTCTCTTGTCTCAGTCTCCCTGGTAGCTGAAACTATAGGCGCCTGCCACAATTTCCAGCCATTTTTAGAGATGGAGTCTTGCTCTTGCTCAGGCTGGTCTCCAGCCTGTGAGCTCAGACAGTCCACCATCTTGGCCTCACAGAGTGCTAGGATTACAAGCATGAGCCACTGCACCTGGCCTGTGTTAACTTTTAAATTAATACAGTTAGACAGTACTGTAACATCCACCTAACCATCCTAGAGATGTTTTCTAGGCCAGCATTTAGACTTGGAATTGGTTAAGAGAGAAGCCCTCAGAGCCTCCAGTGCATTCCAATAACATTTTTCTCCCAGCTTTCCCATGAAGTTATAATTAAACAAACAAAAGGAATAATGTAGAGTTCTGAACTTCAGTTTCTAATTTCAAATGATTTCTATTAACCATGTTTTAAGAGGTTTACTGTTTTAAGAGCATTGGGATAGGTACTCATGCACACTGTAAGACTTCAGGAGGCTTCACATGCATCAAATGGTTAAATACAAGTTGTGATATTGAAGACAAAACCAAAACCACGTGCATGTTTGACCTGCTGGGACACTGCCACTGCCCAAACCGTCTTCTCTCAGCTACCAGGGAGTCAGGCCACGCCTCCATCTTCACAATGACCTTCTTTGCCCTGGCAAGGTTATTTTACCTTTGGCTTGTTTCTCAAAATACTGGGTGGCCACAAAGTTCTTGTGCAATTTTAAATGGCACACTGTTTTAAATTGCACAGGAACTTTATGGCCACCCTGTGTAAAACTGGTTTGGGAACAAAGTCAAAAGTGGATCAGCATGCCTCCTGGGACTGCGTCACATCCCTGTATGCTCCTGCGCACAGAGCCTTGATCTCCAGGGCTGCAGGTACCCCCCTAGCTGAGTCATGTCATGCACTGACCTGCAAGGTTTCATTCCCATGACAAGAAGATGCACATTTCTGGGCTCTTTCACTAAAATTTTGATCATGTAAAAGAAATGTCTGTTGACATCTACTTGATTCCTCAGGCATTTAAAAACGATTTCTCCTGCTACTTCTCCCACTTCCACCTTTGTATCTAAACTTAATCTTGAAAAATATTTTGCCACTATCTTGCAATGAACTGGAAAAATGGACTCCTTTTCTTTCTAGTGGTTTTGTGAGTTTCTACCACAAAAGTAGCACAAGAAAGAGGAAGCCTAGAGCTTGGTGCAAATGTCCCATTCAGTCATGCAAGTGCCACCTTTCTCCTGGATGTCACAGAGGCGTTTGGGGAGGTCCTCAGGGACAGTCCATCCTCTCGTGCCTGGAATAATCAGCCCCCTGCACCTGTTTTTTACTTGCCAATATATCGGCTCATCCTTCTCCTCATTCTCCACCTTGTTTCTTTTTTCTTCTTTTCTGGGGGTACAGGGAGTATTCTTCTCCACGCAGGAATGTGTGTCCCCAAACCACAGTTCTCATCTACCACTTTAGGCCAGGAGGTCCATCAGATGGGCCCTGTTCCTGGCACACTCTCTGGCTGAACTTCAGTAACATCTCCACTCAAACAGCAGCCTTAAGCCTAATTTCAGAGACTATTTTTCCTCTTTGTGCTTCTTAACTTATAGATGCTATATTTTTAACAGCAAAACCCACTAAAAGCAGAGGTAACGCTGTGCTCTGGAAGAGTAATGAGTTTGCAAGCAGCTGTGTAGGTGATTCTTAGTGATGTTTTCCAAGCGATGTTGTTAATGACCTTCATTTTATTTCTATAAAGCAGCATAGTGGACTATCAAATTTACTTCTTCTTTTTTTTTTCCCCCCTTTCACCTCTCCTTCCAAAAGCCACATGCTAAGGGTAAGATCTATGTCCAGAGTCAAGGTAAGAATGTTTAAATATCTGTTTTTTATTTACTTTTTAAAAGTAAAGAGATAGAGAAAGAATATATACACAATAGAGCCTCTGTAAGTTGACCACCCAATGGACGAACTGGTCAGCATATGGAGGCCATCACCATAAGGAGGTAGGAATAGGCCTTAGTATGTGGGTAGATGTCCAGTCTCAGAAACCTAGGCCAACTTAAGGAGGTAGTCCATGCGGAGAGGTGGTCACCTATGGCATCTCTGCTCTATATATACGTATATATATTTTTATAAGAATGAGTTTTTCCTTTAGAGACATATACTGAAATGTTTATGGAGGAGATGCTATGATTTTTGAGAGCCACCTAAAAATAATCAGTAGAAAGGATATATTTTTATTATTTTCTCACATTAGAGTAAAAGATAAATAGGAGAAATTATAAACCAGTAATTTAAAATGCAGATCACAGGCTGGGTGCAGTGGCTCACGCCTGTAATCCTAGCACTCTGGGAGGCCAAGGCAGGTAGATTGCCAGAGCTCAGGACTTAGAGACCAGCCTGAGCTAGAGTGAGACCTCATCTCTAAAAATGGCCAGGCATTGTGGCAGGCCCCTGTAATCAATCCCAGCTGCTCAGGAGGCTGAGGCAAGAGGATGGCTTGAGCCCTAGAGTTTGAGGTTGCTGTGAGATTGATGCCATGGCCCTCTACCCAGGGCGACAAAGTGAGACTCTGTCTCAAAAAACATAAATACATAAATAAATAAATAAGTTAATTAATTAATTAAAAAGCAGATCACTTCACATTTAAAACCAGTAGAAAGTAACATATACTCCCTTGGTGGTGGCTTGTTTAAATAAAGAAAACAAGCTGTTTATGTTGACTTGAGCTGGGGGTAGGGGGCGCTAGATCACTTCACCCCCAACCTGTCCTATTCCTTCCCTCCCCTCGTCCTGCCCCTGGCATCTGATGCCCTCAGCAAAGCCTTCTGAGGCCAAAAAGCACTTTGAGAACCACCGTTGTGCACCACAAAAGTAAGGGGAAGAGAAGGTCCGAGGTAGAACAATCACTGATTCCAAGCAACGGTTAGGAGAGGCTCATAGGCTGAGCCAGGAGGCCAAGTCTCACGGGGACTTCTCCATCAAGGCCTACACCAAGGGCATAGGGAGCCCATGGGGCCCCTGTGGCTGGGACACACTCTCACAGTGGCCTGGTGTCACTGCCCTAGTGGTTTCAATGACATTTTTGGTTGGTGCAGGAGGGAAATCACAGGCTTTGAAGTAGTGTGTGACTTTGAATGCAGCTTTCCACCTGCACACTGCGGGTCTGAATACGGTGACTTCTTCAAACCTTAGTTTCCAGCCAGATAAATAGGCAGAAGCAGCCTGCTCCGCAGATCTTTAAGGACTACCAGTGTTGGGCTGGGGCCGGGCACTTGTTAACCAGCCATTGTCTGTACTATTCCATGTAGATAACATGCACCTGGATGTTAGAGGTAGTTGATATCTTGAGTTTCGTTTTACAAAACATCACTATTTTTCGTTAAATGTTGCCTCTGTGTTTTCTTAATCTTAAATCGTTCATTTGTTCAGAACAAGTTAAACTTGATCTATCTGTCTGAGGAAAGGACGCAGACAGCAGGCAACCTTTGATCATTTGGTGAGGGCTGAAAGGAGGGCCATTAGATTTAGCTGGTAATATTTTAGACACCTGTTACTTACATGCATTTTTGTAAGCAACTCCAGGTTCTTATCACCCAAAGGCAGTTTGGTCCAGTAGTGGACTGGACATGGGCTCAAAGTGGAGAATCTTTTCCCACCTAGACCCCAAGGGCTCAGTTTAAACCTGGCTGGAGGGATTAGTGGGGCTTCATTGAAATGCTCAGAACTTGAAGTAGCTTCATAAGAATCAATGTCCGCCACCACTTAAAATTTGACACAAAATAACTGGTTGTATTTCAGCAGTCTTATCACAGTGGACTTTCTCTTTCTCTTGTTCCTTTGACCCAGGAATTACCACGACACCAAATGCCGCCTTTAACTGGAGCACCTTTCTCCAACGTGCAGGTAAGACGTGACATCTTACGGGACGCTGACCGAAGCAGATCTCGTCAGCATTGCTGACTTGTAACACTGGTGGTCGGGTCAAAGAAATGTGCTGTTTTAGGGAGAACAAAGGAGGGCAGTAACATGAATCCAGGCAAGGCACGATTAGGAGAACAGACTGAATTTCCCCCCATCTGTGACCTCCGTAGCGCTTTCATCTTTGTGGGCAATAGCAGGGCTTGAAATTGGGAGGAAGAACGCTTGGGCTGCTCTCACAACACACTTCCCGCGGTTTCCTATCACTCCTCGCAACATTTTGTTCTTTGTCAGAATAATGACCTCACGTGTTCATTTTATTTTACTGTGCTAATGACACGTGTAATAAATGACCACCGTGGGAAAATGACACCATGGAGATCTGAAAAAATAAAACAAAAACTTGAATCACTTGAAATCTCAGCACCAAAAAGGAATGGCTGTTAATGTTTGGCGGGATCTTTCTCAACAATTTTCCGTATACGGAAAGTACCCAAAAAATGTATACACATTTCAAGAAAGGAAAAAAACTGTATTAAAATTCTAATGCTTAATATATAACAATAATAAAAGATGAATACAAGTCATGTTTGAGTACCTCTTGCCATTGCAGATGTCAAACATGACTTGAGCATTACAAGTTTAATACAATTTTTTCCTTTTTTTCCTTTTTTTGGAGACAGAGTCTCGCTTTGTCACCCTTGGTACAGTGTCATAGCTCACAGCAACCCCAAACTCTCGGGTTCAAGTGATCCTCTTGCCTTAGTCTCCAGAGGGACTACAGGCACCCACCATAAGGCCCGGTTAGTCTTTCAATTTTATAGAGACAGCTCATGCTGATCTCAAACTCCTCAACTCAAGCAATCCACCCAGCTCAGCCTCCCAGCGTGTTAGGATTATAGTTGTGAGCCACTGCACCTGCCTCTAGCTTTTGTCTTTTCTTAAAGTGTGTATACATTTCTTTGGCACCCTCTGTTTGTGTGTGTCTCTGTGTGTGTGTGTGAATAAAATGATTTTTTCAAAACCAATATTGGTGTACTTACTATTCTAACTTGCCTTATTTATTCATTACAGCAGTTAGAAGAGAGCTCACCCATCCTTACAAAAAAAAAAATATGAGCTTAGAGCTTATATGTAGCAAAATACAGAGTCCTCAAGTATAAAATTAGGTAAATTTTTGACATATGTCTGCACCCAGGCAACAAATACTCTCATCAGTGTAGATAACATTTTCACCCCTCAAGAAAGTTCTCTTGTGCCTTCTTTGATGTTTAATTCTCATCCCTCTATAAGTGACTCCTGTTCTAATTTTTGTTATCATACTGGAAGCACTTGTTTTGTTATCTGGCTTTCATTGCTCAGCGTAATGTTTTGGAGATTTGCGGTGCCATGTGTATCTGTCGGGTTTCCCCTTTTCCTGCTGAATAGTATTCCATTTCAGTACAGCCCGTTGCCTTCCACCACACTGCTGTTTATGGATTCTCCTCCGGGTGGACTTTTGTTTTACATTTTTTGCTACTACAAATAAAACTGATGAAAACATTGTTTTTGCAAGGTTTTTGGTGACCTGTATCTTCATTTCTCTTGGATAAGTTGTGTGACTTGATCATATACAGAGTGGACATAAAGTTTGGGTGTAATTTTAAATAGTTTAACGTAGTAAATTTGTATATGATTAACACTATCAGAAACAGCTGCTTTTCCCAGCATGAGCTAGTCTCTGTTTCTGCAGAAATTGACGGAAACTCCAGTTTTTCCGCATCCTCGCCAGCCAGTGGTGTTGGCAGCTTCTTTGATTTTAGCTGTTGTAGGGGGACGCTGAGATAGCGTCTCCTTGTGGTCCTTCTAATTCATATTTCCTTGATGATCAGTGGGGTTCAGCACCTTTTCCTGTGTACCTTGGCCATCCACGTACCTCCTTTTGTGAAGTGTGTGGCAAGCCTCTGCCTTTTTTATTGTGTCCCCTTTTGATTAATGATTTGTGGAAGTTTTTTATATTCCAGGTACAAGCCTTTTGTCAGATGTGTGTATTGTGAATAGTTTCGTCCATTCTCTGGTTTACATTTCCGTTTTCTTAGCCATGTCTTTGAAGAGCAGAGTTTTCCATTTTGCTGAAGTCTAGTTCATTGCAACACTGTCCCCTGGAAAGGCGGATCAGCACACATGCTGTAAGTCGGAGACACGCTATTTTCCTTACCGATGGTGGAGCTAACAGAGTCTCACGTTTTCCATGCATGATGCGATAGAGACATAGTCACCACATTTAGGCAGACTTTTATTATTCAGTGTCCTTAAGTATAGAAAATGTGGTTGCTCACAAATGAGGCCCGCTAGTGTATGTTATTTGGTGCTGGCACTTTGTTACAGGCAGGCCAACCCAGTACTCTGGGCGAAGTTGCTAGAACAGCTAAAATTGGCTCTTGGTATGCAATTTGAGGCATCTGAAAACATAACAATTCTTCCGTTTTAACCAGAAATATTTTTCCTTAGAGACAGCAATGCTGGGTTACCATGACAAGGGCCACACTGCGGGGTTCAGGGAAAGCTGGTTTCGGGTCCTGACATAAACATCTAAGTAGAGACTAAAAATGCAAAATCAGCACCCTACCCTCGCAAAGGGGACGATACCCCAAGTCTATTTTCACTCTAAAAACTTGAAACATAGTCTCCCCTGCTTATTACGTGTCAGTATTGGGTTCCCTTGAAAAGAAAAATTTCCAAGCATTTTATTAGAAATAATTTTCGCAGTGTACGTAGTCCTCATCAGTCTCAGCGGCAGTAGCATGGCTGTTCTCGGCCTTACAAATGAGCCCGCGTGATCCAGTTGCTTTATCATGCCAGCAACTGCCCGCCATTATTCAGAACCAGTGGGCCTGTTTTAAATCGCCTGTTGTAAGGTTATTTCATCTTCAATATATCACAGGCTGCAATTGCGTTGTAACTAAGATTCATAATTTCCAAAAGGAGAATGATTTGTCATCAGGTTCCACAGTCTCGGGGCTGATTGTTTCACTGGTCTCACTGCGGAGTGATTAACGGAACAGCCGAGAGATTTTAAACACTCCTTAGAAAGCATTTCCTCTGGAGACCTACTTGGCCGCCGTTTAATCTTAATGTGTGCAATTAGAAGTTGTAAATGTATTCAGAATATACAGGCTTAGAGAGACTTCGGTTGTGGCTCCTGTAGCTGACAGTGGCAGATAATGGCTTAAGGGTAGTCACAGAATTAATTTGCATCTCCCAGCTTTATGATCAGGCGTCTGTTCTCATTCCTGTGGTTGTTCATCTCTGTCGTGTTCCAGGCTCTGGGGATGGGCTGTCCTCAGCATCCTTAACTCTGTCTTCCCTTGGCTTCTGGAGCATTTGAAACCTGTGACTGATTCGTTACTTCCACTTTGAACTTCAGATGGTGACAACAGAATATGGTAGAGTGGTCAGGTCCTGAGCTTCTGAATTCTTGTGAACTGTTGACCTTGAAATCAAGGGGGAGCGGGTGGAGAAGGACCTCATTCAACACTCCATATAAATAGCTGGGCAACTAATTAGTCACTGTGGTTTACAGTGTGCTTCTTAAACATCTGATGTCAATTTCACTGTCCTCTTCCAGGAAGTCCCAGGTTCTCTGGGCGTATTCAGGTATGTCCAAAGCCCTAGCTGACAAATGACTGAGTCTCCTTAGTTTAAAGGAACCCATCTCAGGCTCGCCAGATTCCATATTAAACAGGTTAACTAAGAGCAAGCAAAGTAGGCTAAATGTGGTAAGTGGCATGCCTGCGATTTTTCACAAGATATTTACAATAGCTGTTTCGAGCAGATGATAATATGTAGACATCTCAAACTAATTACTTGGTCTTTGAAGTTTCTGTGCTTTTCCAGAAGCATCTGAAATGTTGTCATCATTCCATGTTCCATGATTTTTGCTTTCCAGTGTGAATGGGCAACACGTTCAAAGTCATGATTCCTCCATAGTCTTCATCAAAGCTGAAAACCATGGGCCAGGAGCAGTGAGTGGCTCATGCCTGTAATCCTAGCACTCTGGGTGGCTGGGGTGGGTGATTGCTTGAGCTCAGGAGTTTGAGACCAGCCTGAGAAAAGTGAGACCCCGTCTCTACTAAAAACTAGCTGGGCATGGTGGTGCACACCTGTAGTCCCAGCTACTCAGGAGGCTGAGGCAGGAGGATAGCTTGAGCCCAGGAGTTTGAGGTTGCTGTGAGTTATGATGATGCCAGGGCACCTCTACCCAGGGCGACAGAGTAAGACTTGGTCTTAAAAAAAAAAAAAAGTTGAAAACTATGAAAGCTATAAATTTGACCGGGCCACTTCCTCCTGTTTTCTTGTTCTCCTCTTTTTCATTTTGTCTTATGTCTACTTCTGATGCTTTTTTGATTCATTTTCTCTTTCTCTCTCTCAGCTCTAGTTGCATCTCCGTGATGGAGACTCCACTTTGCCTGACTCAGATTATAGCTTGTTCCTTCCTCAGGCTGTTATTCCTAGGAAAACTCAGTTACCTGTTCACGTGGAAAATCAGTCTTACTAGATACTTTTATCCTTACACAGCCACAAAATCAGGTTCTTTAGCTAAATTCACCAACTCTAACATGTTTGACCAAAGTCCTTAAATTCCTTTCTCTTTATAAAAACACATGAAAGATAAATAAGGAGATCTGCTGGGAGAGAGTACAGGGGACATAAGGGGGGACCGGACATGTGTCTGAGGGTGGGAAGATTAGGCAGTGCCTTTGGCAGTGACATGCCAGACTGTGAGGACTGTGAGTTTTTTTTTGGAGACAGCGTCTCAAGCTGTCACCTTGGTTCGAGTGCCGTGCTGTCACAGCTCATAGCAACCTCAAACTTTTGGGCTTAAGTGATTTTCTTGCCTCAGCCTCCCAAGTAGCTGGGACTACAGGTGCCTGCCACAACGCTGGGCTATTTTTGTTATTGTTGCAGTTGTCGTTGTTGTGTTAGGGGGCCCAGGCCAGGTTGGAACCCTCCAGCCTCTGTGTATGTGGCCGGCACCCTACCCACTGAGCTCTGGGTGCTGCCCCACATTTTGTTGCGAAGGTAAAAACATCCTCTAGGATATGGTGCTATCAGAAAGATCGTATGTGCCTTTGTAAGGGATGGGTTCAAACCTTGCCTCCTGCTAATCTGAATTATCAGAGGAAATGCCAAGGCAATAAAAAAATAAGTTTTGATTTCAAACAAGGTAACAAAATTCACTAAAAACTCTGCTTAGGTACCTGCCTCATGTCTGAGTTCAGCAGGCCAGTCTGTTTTTATTCTTTGTAAAAGCTAAGGATTTGTGCATGATCCATTTCCTCAAAGCTGTCAAAGGCTTCAGGGAGCCTGAAACATCATTCATCAGAGTCGGTGCTTCCGTGTGATGGGCTTCAGCACTTGAACGCTTGATCAGGAGTTTTCAATTATCTTTATTTTTCTGAGAAGGATATTTCCGTAGGTGGGAGTGACATAAGCTACTCAAATCCAAACTCTGTATTTTATTTCTAAAAAATCCTAGAATAAGATAAAGTGCGTATCCTTTGTATCTGTCATATTCTCATTTAGTTCCCTAAGTTCTCGTTACTGAGGAGGGAGGCAGGGAATATAGGATCAGCTCCATCTCCCCGCAGGGTCCTGTAGGTCAAGAGATCCCATAATTTAGTAAGTTAGGAACTAGCACTTTTAAAAATTGAAATGAAACAGAATAGACTATATCAGAATGCCTTGCATGAAGTAAGGGTAAAGTTCTTGTTTTATTAAACTAAATACAAACTCTGTGTGTGTTTATGCATCTCACATGTCTGAGGTGCAATATAAGGTTTATTTTACTGTAAGTCGAATTTTGTATTTGACTGTATTTGGAAGTCAGTGCCATACCTCCTGAAGTATTCTCTGGACTGCCTTTCCGGGGGGACCGGGGTTGGGCGGGAGGCCACTTTTTTCCAGCCTTACCTGGCCAGTATGCCAGCAAGTCTTCAGAGCTGTGGTTCTGAGTAGCTAACAGGTGTCAGGGTAAAGGAATAAAATAGCTTTCTAACACTCACACTTGCCACATAGCAAAAATAAGGAATTAAATAGAGTCTCTTTCTACCTAGATGTCACGTAGGTGTCTCTTACAGTGCTGTCTGGGAAAGCCATCTCTAGATGATATCTTTGGGTGTTGTGTTTGTGTTGTTTTTGTATTTGCTTTTTAAAAACTCAGTCACACCAAACTCTCCTCTTTGCCCCCACTTTTTGGCACATTCATATTCTCCTACTTTCCTTTCCTTCCTCCTCTCTGTCCTGCATGTGAATAGATATTCCGTGCACCTGGGGCACATGATATAAGCGATGTTGTGCCTTCTTGGTGCATCCTATCTACAGCACACATAATACTGGTTATTTTTTTCCTGAATACATAAACTCATGTGTGTGTGTAGGCCATGCATGCTGGGGTAAGATTTCTTCCCTCAGTTAAGGTGGCATTTTCCTGCTGTACGGGTATTATATTTCCATTGTCATAAATAAGTAATTCTGGAGAAGGTACTTTTAATCTCTGTCCTCATCAAACTTTCACTCTTATCATTTATTAGTAACTCTTACCTAGTAACTTAGGCTTGGACTGTTTCTCAGACCAGACCCTCCAATCCTTGAAGGTTCTCTTTCCAACTGTTATCATTTATGAAAGAGAATAGCGTGACTCCTGACCTCAGATTCAAATGCCTGGCCTCAGACTTCTCTGACCTCAAATTCAAATTCTGCATCCTGCTTCCAGCATAGACTTTGGGTTACACAAATACCAAGATCTATATTTCTAAGATTAGTTTCAGGATACTCAGAATATTATCAAGGACATTTTTTAAAAAATGATAAAAACTCAATTTATCTCAGTGACATTGTCAATAGTTAATTCAGAGGCTGTGCGAATATTTTAAAGCATTTCTAAGAGACACATCTCAATCTTAACATTTTAGTAAAGATTTTCTCCAGAGCTAGCTCTGTATTAGTTTTTTTAAGCTGTTATGATTGTGTTATTGTGGCATCATTGTACTTTATTACAGTCAGACTAGTTATCTGGCTAGTGGAGACTTAGAAAAGCACAGAGAAAATGAGTGTTTGCATTAAATAAGGAGGGGACGCTCACCCTGGGACAGGGTGGGGGACCCTTTATCTTGCATGATTTTATGTCTCATTATATAGGTTGCAAATGCTCAAGTTTTAGGTTAGTTTGTGTTAAATCTATTAATATTTTCTGTTGAATCAGTTAAAGGTTGAAGTATAATAAACAGCCTTCACATGCACTGGCTTAAAACAACCACCACTGAGTTTCCCTGATTCTGGGTTTGGCAGCTTGGACATGGCTCAGCCCGGGTGTTCTGCCTGCTTCCTGTGTCTGCTGGGCTCACTCGGGCCAGGGCCACAGGTTGTGCACAAGGCAGCAGTGACAGTGAACATACAAGGCCTCCTGCGGCCAAGGCTCAGTCACTCACTGTCACTGCCACTGTACCCTGTTGGCCCACACAAGTCCCTGGCCAGCCCAGAGTCCAGGGCTACAGAGATCAGTTCCACATCTGATGGAGAGGGTGATGAAGACTGTGGCCATCCATCCCAAGTTGTCTTAAGTGACAGCAGCTTCCAATCTGGGAAACCAAGACTTTTACTTTTTTTTTTTTTTTTTTAATCTTTTCATATATAAACATATTCATTTACTTTAAAATTTTTTTTTCTCAGCGTTATGAAAGGATAATTGACAAAGAAGGATTTATGTGTGTAAGATGTACAATGTGATGATTTGGCAGGCTTTGACACCTTTATGGACGTCTATTTATTTAGATGTGTGTACCTGTGCATGGCTGAATTCAGGAGCACATTAATGTAAAAACCACTTTTCGAGTTTCATCAAGAAAATATCTTCCTACCCAGAGGTGGATTCAAACATTTCCTAGGACCCCTGGTTTCTGTGACAGTGGAGTTATTTTTGGCTCTCACCCTTCCTCCTTGCTGCAGAGATGTACTGACACTGAATGGGCTGGGTTTGGCTCAGGGTCACCCACTCGAAGGAATCAGTTTATTGTAAGGAAACAATCACGAGTGTGAGGGAGGTAGGGGCAGGGGCCTAGGAGGCAAGGCTGTGCTTCCGGGCGGCCTCTGCAGTCCCATCGTGACCGGCACTCTCAGCAGAGTCTTCCTCACTAAAAAGATCCTGAATTGTTTGTTCCTTTGCAGAGATTAACCAAAGTGCTGATAATTTACACGTATTTCTTCTGGTGTGTGGACTCCGACAAGTCAAAGATCCTCTTTATCTGGTGGATGCGTTCTCAGGTGCGTTCTCCAGAGTTCCTTCCCGCCCTTGTTTATGGGATTCCATTTGGTCCACATGTCAGCCTTCCTCTCGCAGGACCCTCAGTTTTTCTCTCATCCTTTGCTCCTGAGCAGAACTGCTCTGGACTGTTACTCCGAGAACAGTCAGGAAAGTAATTTATGGGACTAAGGGCCCCTGTGTTCTTTTTCAGTTTAGTTTTCTACTGTACTGTGGACACAGCTTCTGAGGAAAACATAAAAATAGTGAATAATTCTATGACCAAAAGAATTGGATCTGAAAATGTTTTGCACGTGGCAATTTGTACGATGCATTTGGAGTTTTGTGCACGAAGTTGATCTATACAGTCTTGAGTATATTCTGAATTCCATTTTGAATTGTGGTGGCGTGTTAGTCCTAGTTATCAAATAAATTAGAAATGTCAATAATGTACAGCATTATAGAAAAAATATTTTACTTAAAGGCATAAAATTTTAAGAATATAAATTCTAAATGGACTAATATGAATAAAAGCCAAATGATATGAAATTATTTATATTACGGAGTAATTTATATTAAACTTAATTGTGGTTGCAGCTCTGACTTAAAATCATTCTAAAAGTGTTTTTTTTTTTTTTTCCTTTTTCTTCCCTAGAATGGCACCAAGAAGAGCCCAATATTTACCTGGTAATTGTAGGTCCTGAGGTAAGTTGATGCGCTCTGAACGTGTATCTCATCTTTGTTTTCTTCTTTATATTTTGAGTGCATTTTCTACAGTTAGTTTAAGTTACTCTCTAACCAAGTGGGTTTGTGCTTTTTTAACTTTTATATAACTGTTATTTTAGAATACTGTACTTTTAGATTTATAGAAGAGTTATAAAGATATGTTCCCTTCACCTAGTTACCCCAATGTTGCTGTCTTGCCTAACTGGCTCATTTGATAAAACTCAGGGATTAAGCATTGATACACTATTTTTTTTTTTTTTTTGACACAGAGTCTCAAGCTGTGGTCCTGGGTAGAGTGCCATGGCATCACAGCTCACAGTAACCTCAAACTTTTGGGCTTAAGCAATTCTCTTGCCTCAGCCTCCCAAGTACTACAGGGACTACAGGCACCTGCCACAACGTCTGGCTATTTTTTGTTGTTGTTGTTGCAGTTGTCCTTGATATTTAGCAGGCCTAGGCTGAGTTTGAGCCTGCCAGACTCAGTGTATGTGGCCGATGACCTACCCACTGAGTTACAGGTGCCACCCAACCTTGAAACACTATTAATTAAATTACTTACTGTATTCAGATTTCACTTGTTTACCCACAGTGTCCTTTTTCTGTTCTCCTTTTAATTAAATGAAGTCAGTTTTCCTTTTTAAAAATTAAAACCATGGCTCAGCGCCTGTGGCTCAAGTGGCTAAGGCGCCAGCCCCATACACTTAAGGTGGCAGGTTCGAATCCAGCCTGGGCCCACCAAGCAACAATGATGGCTATAAAAAAAAAAAAAAAAAAAAAAGAAATTTCTGTGCCTTTTACATATCCATGCATTATTGGTGGGGCTGAGGATAACAAGAATATTGAGGAAGATCATAGTTACCACTTACTGAATGTCTACAAAGTACCATATACATACCATATGCTTTATATGTATTATTTAATCATTATGTAATCCTTCAAAGTAGGCATTTTTTACCCTGTTTCACAACCAAGGAAACTAAGGTTTAGAAAGGTAAAATAACACATTCAGAGTCAGAGTGGTGAAGATGATACTAAACATACTGTGCTGTTTTAAAATAATGAAATACTGGCTTAGCACCTATAGCTCAAGTGGCTAAGGTGCCAGCCACATACACCTAAGGTGGTGGGTTTGAATCCAGCCCAGGCCTGCCAAACAACAATGATGGCTGCAACCAAAAA